AGCAGCTATTTTGACGCAAAAAATGGTTAGTTGATTCGAAACCAGCCTGCTGCATATCATTCTTTCTTAATGAGAGAATAATTGCACTTCATTTGGCCGTTAAGCATCCGTTCAATCGGTCAAGCACAAGTAGAGACTTGATATTATGGTGGTTGTCTTGCACTTTTGAGGGGGAACTTTTGAAATCAGGTTATTTGTATTGTGCTTTGAGTGCTCCATTTGTTGTTCTATATGACTTTTATCCATTGTTACGCATTTTGTGGTTATTTTGTAGAATTTCTTAAGTCACTTTTTTGCGGTGTTCTAACTCCATCCTAAGCGCTTGATGTGGTGGATTGGAGTGAGAAAAGTAGTGGCTATCATCTGTATGAATTTGAGCAACTCTGCTTATAGTTGCAAAGTTTTCTGGCAGAACTCTAAGTATTGTTCATCCTATGTCTAGTTTTTTTATTTTCATTCTATTTCTATACCTCTTCAAGGTTTTGCTTTATTAATACTGTTCCATCGAGATCAGGATGGGACAGATATGTGTTTATTTTGGAGCAAGTTGTGTCTCTCTGATTAAGGCGTCAGTCCCTTAGCGACTCTATCGCAGCATTTCTAGTGTTGGTGCTTATACTATAATACTAATTGCTGTATTTCAGTCCTGTTGCTCTAGTATAGGTAAATCAACCCACTTTTAATTTATACTTTTCCGATTTTTTTCCTCATTCTTTCAGCTTGGCGGTCGTAAGGTCGAAGGCCAAAAACAAGACTTCAGGTACATTCCTACGCATAAGTTCTATCAAAATTTGCGGGTTTCGAGGTGCACTTTCAAGACAAACTTGTCAACTTGTAGTTTTTACATTCAGTTAATCGAGTGATCCACTACTCCTCACTACTTAAAAGGTTTCTAGTAGCATGTTTTCTCTTATTTGTAGCGCTTATGATGTGCTGCTTCTGTGTCTCTTCATGATCATTCTGCACAATCCACGTTTTCCTTCTCTCTTCTACTTCTCCCACATCCACACCGATGTGTATCAACAAAATACGATGAAGCTTGATGAAGGTAGGGTGATGCTTACTAATCCACGAAGCAAATTCGCTTATGTCTTCCTCTTACAGGTTCGTTGCGCGGAAAACTTATGAATACTGGCGATGTGCCCTGGACCAGGGAAAACCACGCTCCATATCAATCAACTGTAGGTCCGCGCAATCTGATGGCTGACCTGATTGAATATACCTCTGTGGTTATGCAGAGAATTCGGGGAGGTACGCTCTTTCATTTCTCCTCATACCTTGTTCACTTTATGTTTTATCAATCACAAACGAAATACGACAGTTTAGATGGTCACGACTGTATGTTCTAGGAATGGCTCGAGGTGGAGACCCAGCTTAGACCCTATAACATCAAATCATTAGTCCAAAATAGGTCAATCTTTCTGTCTTTAGCTGCGAATGATCTGGAACTACGTCTGCCAGCATCCGCCTAATACTCTTTGCTGCTTTTGCATGCAATTATTCCTCAACTTGTAGTGTGCTGCACCTGCTCGAAAGCTAAAATAATTCACAACAGTGTTAAGCAAGACCCATTGCTAACATGAGGGATGGTTGGGAGACCTTGGATATCTCAAAAATGCCACTTTGCTAAAGAAGAGATTCAACTCGTTGCCATTAGACGTTATCGCAGTCAACTGTACAGTTAAATGGGCATTTGATCGCTATTTGATTCTCTTTTTCCTTGCTCTCCGTTCATAGCGCCCTCCATGACTTAGCAGTAGCCACCTTTTTTTGCTTCTTGCTTCAACGATTATTTCTGTTGATCGTTGACCGTTTAACGTACCAATTGATAGTGGGGGCAACCTTGACCTACGAACATTACCTTCAAATGAAGGTTTAGAGGGCTATTTTTTACAGCCCCCTTCATCCTATTCGCACTTTAGATCCATTCAAATCATTCATCTTGTTTTCATTTGGCTGCAGGAGGTGTGGAGGAGGTGGTGTACGTTTGCTTACTTCACACGTACCCCTTCATGAGTTCTGTAAGCATTTGTATGGTTGATACTGTACAGGCTCTTCCTGTTTAAAATTCATGGTTACTCCAGTCTGTAGCTGTTACGGTTGTAATATCCCCACTGCTTCCTGAGCCCTTAATGAGCTTTAGCCGTGGGGAAGAAGAACTGATGCGATGATAGTGGTATCAGGACAAGGGTAAAATTCACAAAGATGGAAGAGCCTGTGTGGTTACTGACCTTGATGTTTTACAAAAGAATTTACAAAGAAAGGAAGGTCTGTTTTTTTTTCTTCAATAGGTCGCTTGGCTTATGACAATTTTTTTCCTCTCAGAGTATCCAGATGTGATTTACCACACTGTATATTTAATGTTAGTGAGGCGCCATGAGAAGGTCTTCATCAAGAAGGGATTGTAGAGCCCAATGGTGATTGTGTCCCTTCAGAGGACATTTGTGTCCTCCTTACCTGAGAGCGTCGGAAGTAGCGTTCGAATTGTCCAATTAACCACAAGACACCTACTACAAAAGGTTATCTGAAGCCGTATGTCTACACACTTTTTTTATGTGTCCCCCTTGGTGTAGTCTCTGCATTGGAAAAATAATCAAAAATACTCGGATTGGCATGTTAAGTGTACCTCGGCCTGCATAAAGTGGAGGCTTTAGCTATCGCGAGTGGAATTTAGGCTCCTACACCTGTTGCGATTTCGAATGCCTGAAATCACTGCGACCTTTAAGGTGGGTCACAGAGTATGTTGGAAATGCCCGTTTTTCATAGTTCTGGAGAGGGGGGAAGGACACAACCACATTCATTGTAGTTCAACTGGTTTTCGGTCGTTTTCTTAACTTTGGAAGAAAACACCTTCAGTTTATCTTACCACCAAATAACGGCACATCGTAATCCAAAAATTTATGCAAAAATTGATTACAGACCGTTCAAATTGTGGAGGGAGTTGGACGTCATCCATGTTGGCACATGTTTGACTGCCTGAAGGTGAATCTGAGTATGCTGAAGTGGGGATGCACTCTGAACCTCGTGGTCGGGAGACAGTACGGCATTTTTATTTTGCTGAAGGAATCAAGCTACAATTGTAGTCTCCACTTCTCTCCATCATACAGCCTTTGGGCGTAACTGTTTTCCCTTCCGAAGACGAGGTGATGACTTGGAAGTTTGGATTTTGTTGCCCTTAAATGACACCTCCGGCCAGTCATTCGTGCCATCTGCGATATTCTCAAAAGAAATGGATGAAGTGATTGGTCCTTCTTGAACCCTGGCATAATCTTTAAGCACTTACGGTCACAGTTACTCCAGATTACTTCGCTGATCTTCTTTCATAAGCCGAGGTCGATGCATCATGCCTAAATAGAGCATATTTAGAGCCTTTTTGGACAATGCATTACTTTACTTTGCATCAATTTTCTCTTCAAATGCTCCACTGCAAATGTTGCGACAAACTGATTACTGTTTACAGCTTTGTAATTGCTTCAAGCAACCTCGAATTGTAGTTGTCAGGTCTAACTTTGAGTGATATTTGTGGTGGACGTTGGGGGTGGAGAGTAAAAAAAATAGGTCGCCCTCACGAATGCATGCATGACAGGGAACACTGTAAGCAGTAATGAGTTGAAATTTGCAATAACTTATTTGTTTACTTGCTAATGCCTCTTTGTGGTTGCCTTTTATTTAAGCAAATTCGAGAGACGGTCCTACTTACTTTTGAAATAAGTAGTTGAGAAGGCATTAATACATCAGTTGGCCTAATTTCTACTATCAGGTAATATTCAGTAGATAAGTGAACTCCTGCTCCTTTTGGTAGCTAATTTTTGATACTTTTTAATCCCCTTGTTTTGTCCTCTTGATGTGGTCCCTATTCCCATGCATAAAGACCTTTTTTACGTACTTTGTAGATTCTGATGGTCTGTATACGTGTAGCCTCTGCTTCAAAATCATGTCCCATGCAACAATGGTAGAGGCTTTACAATTTCTCATCAATCCGGTGCCCTCTTATATGGACTAACCCTATTGCTCTCCTCCTAGAATCTGTCCGTCTGTCGTTTCCTGCACGAATACAACATTTACTTCACCATTCAGCTACATCGAGTGGTAAGCGCCTAAAGGCCACTGATCATTTGTATGTGTTACGTCAGTACCTTTCACGGTGCATTTGGTGTCAGCACGCTCGACTACCAAATTTGGGAAGTTAAAAAGGAACTTTGTCACAAGTTTCTGTGAGACATGGGAGGGTCATGAGGGTGGAGGGCACTGTGGTTAGTGTGGTCTTGCCCCCACGTTGCACTCACCTATTTCATGAACATTTGACCCCACTCAGTGTTGGTCACTCCATTAGTTAATTTTGGCCTTTCTTAACTGTAGCCTCTTCGACACCGCAAGTCCAGCATTGGTTTACTCGATCGCAGTTCCAATAACACTATGGCTGCTGTTCTCTTAGGTATGCTCTTGCTCCGTCCTACCGTAGAACTGCTGAAAGAATGGTGTTTAATTATGTTGAACGAGATCAGGTAGCTCTTGATACAACAGTGAAACAACCTACCCCTTAAATGTCATGGTGTGTTGCTTTTTTTATTCCTTTTAGATCTTCTGGTTGAGTTTTTCTGTACTCACCTGATGAAATCCTTCCCTTTTGCAATTCATGGGTAAGCACTGAGACCAAAACATTCATCGAGATTCCCTTTTACCCTTAGAGAGTGTTTGAACATTTGCTATCATCTACTTTCGCACCAAAAAGAGCGCGGTCTTCGGTTAAACTATGATTGGAGCCAATTATGGAAAGGTGGGTTCCACAACTTCACCATCTCCAATTCCTCTCTTTCCGCCTAGCTCTCTTCGACCTCATGTCGTATGTCATCAAACCAAATGGCCCATCTCTCTGTGAGGCAACATTTACCACTCTTTTAAAGGTCTGTCCCTGTACTGCTATCCTTCTGGCACTTCATTTTCTACCATCCAATTTTGTGAGTTTTTCCTGTAATTTTCAGATTGTAGGGATATTCAACTTCTTTATAACCTTCGGAGGCTATTTTCTCCCCAATCCGGGCGCCTACGACTTTCTTTACTATGAGTTGATTCGTATGAAGGACGTGGTAGAGCGGTTGATTCTCTTTGGTGAGTGATCAAACAGTTGTGGAATGCATTAAGTGGGTTCAAGTGAAACGACTTAGAAAAAGAGCCTCAGAGGTTACTCGACTGTAGTAATCGCTTTCGGTTGGGTTCATTTCAGTTTAATGAAGCTTGGATAGGGAGGAATGAAGGTTTTCCGTACACACTCACACACATGCTGGTAGTAATTAATGTGTAACATGTTTTTTAAGCACCCTCTCTTCAAAGCAGTCGATCAAAAGGTGTCAAAAGCGCCATGATTAGCTGTTTACATTAGTCCTCCGGTCTCGGGGCCGTGTCGGCAAGGTCAATTTTGACTGGAATCTGGTAGCAAGCCGTCGACATAGTCTTCTTCATTCCTCTCCTCTGAATCCGTCCACCTTGACATTTGAGATGCGAATTGCTGTACAACGCTCCTGTAATTAGTCTTTACTACCAAAGCTTTTGGTAGAAGGAATGTATTATTACCACAGGAGGCTCGATAATTTTGTTTTGGTCTCGTGAATTTCATGCGAATTTCCTTGATTTGCCCCACCTTTCAAATGTGAATGGGTCGCTCTTGAATTGTCAGCCTCCGACAAATTGTTAATGCAATTTGTTCATAGCAGTGTTGATATTGCTTCAGCACTAAAACTCTCCACGGCATCTCAACGACCCTTGCCGTTTGTTTTACGCCATTATGCTGGCGTGCTGGCTTGGACTCATTTGGGAGTCCCTTTTCCGGCTAATTAGGGAGCAAAGACTCTCAAAATGGACGTCTCTACCTTCCTATGAGTATGTGGCTACAGACTGACTAGTGAAGACACGACGTAGTTCCTATCCAGCTTACTTATGAACCAATGTGTGAATTGAGGGCGTTAGACGAAGTGTGTGTCCATTGAAGCATTCTATTTCCCTCAATAATTCAGCACTAAGAGAAGCGGCATTTTTGAGAATCGAAGCAGGAACTTTGTTGCTCGGTGTAGTGGGCGGTCTTAGCACCGATGGCGCTTAATCACAGGCCAGATTGATGGCGAAGGAGATGAGATTTGTAATCAAACAATTGTTTTATCAAATTCGAAACTCTCAGATGATTTAGTTGTACCACTTTTGTAGTCAATAAACACTCCTCGTCGCCCAAAAGCACTTGGCAGGCCTTGACAGCGAATCTGTATGAGTCTTTGGAAAATTTGAAGTTAGTTTCCAGTCATTGTTGTTTTTCTCCGCCACCCATTTGCAATTGCCGGGCGTCAATATTTTCTTGTTGTTTGATTATGCAGGAACATTGTGAACCACTTCAATGAAAAGATTGCTGCCCACGTTTCCAAGGATCGGGGTACTTCATTGACTGAAGCACAGGTTTGTCTCCTCTCCTTTATCCCGATAAAGTTGGACACGTAATGAACCCTCCATTTGGTTTGCTAGGTGTTTGACATTATTCAAAAAAATTACGAATCACTCAATCTGCGGGTCTACGAGGACCTATACAAGTACTACGAAGAGGCGGCGGTTGATGGGGACGAGGACAACGATCGTATGGTATGTCTCGACCTCATTCGCGTATTGAGACTGATTGGGGCCATTGAATACCACATTTTGCGGTCTCCTATTCACATCTTTCAATCTTAACTCGTGCTGGCCTTACGAGGTCTCATTTTATCCCCACATTGTGGATTGTGCCACTGAAGACCTCCTTTTGCCATCAGCTTCTTTTAAATCGACTAGTGCTGTGGGAACTTAAGTGAGCTCCTCTCGTTTTGTCCTCTTGTAGGTAGAGAAAATTGTTCAGAGCGTTCGAAGAGACTGCCAGAAGGCTGCGATGGCTTACCAATTGCGATTCAAAGAATTGGATATGATGAACTTTTTATAGTTGTTATGAATAAAGATGATCCCTCACTTCTAACTCATAGTCGTTAAAGTTACTTTTTAAAGTAGCATTTTTTGCAAGAGCTGTCACCTGACTTGACGAAGTGATCCTCGAAACTGTTCTGGATTAGGGCAATACTCTGATCACTTACTGATTGCAGAGGGTTTTACAAGAAACTTGGGCGACTTGATGCCCTGTGGCCAGTATTACAGCAATGAATTGGAGTGTACTGTTCTTACATGAAGTTTCTTAGGGAGGTCGGTAGTGGTCCAATCCCTCTTCTCATTGACAACGAATATTCAGCTTTAGCTTCTATTGTATTCAAGGAAATCTCAAGACGCTAAGACTACTTATTTCACAAAACTGCTTGTTCAAAGTCATATTTTTAATGTTGTCTCTACTGTTGCACAGTTGCTCGGTGGGTGGGACATCTTGATGTTCAAACAACTACTATTCCTTCTGGAGGGGGAGGAGGGTCGAGTGCGACTGCTGTTGAATGCGCATCAAGAGGGGACGTTAAGTTACTAAATTTATTCCGAAGTTGCATGATTTCGGACTGGGAGTGGGCACTAGTAATGCGTGTCGAGTTTAACAGTCTTCTTACAGCGGTTCCTGTGTGGAAGAACATAACACTTGGATGAGTGCTTGCAGCTCATTAGCACAGTTAGTCGAATAAACTAGGCATTACTTTATTCCCTTTTTCCTTTAAGTGATGTTCGTGGCGTCTCTCGCTACACAGACATTGCTGTAAGGAAGCACCAAGTCAATTGTCCTACACCTCAATGCGACTTATCAGTCTTGACAGGACAAGTTCTTTCCCTCGCCCTGGAACTCGAAATCAGACACGCGAAGTTCTGTTGGTCGTCATGCGTGTCCTGGGCTAGATGTTGGTGTACTGGCATAAGACAGATCATTAATGGGGAATACGAGATCTAACACACTTTCATGTCAGGGGGTTTGTACAATAGCATATTGGCAATATTGTTACAGACGCGGATGTGGTGGAGGAAACAGAGCTTTTCCTTATGATTGACAGCAGGTGTCGCTTCATCTGGTAATAGTTTGCCTGTGAAGCACAAGAGTATGAAAGATGCCGAGCGGAAGCTGATATCAGAAATTCTGTTGTGGGGAAAGTAAAGAGTCTCTCACCTGAAATATGCCTAATCTACATACACTAAAGAGGGTAGTTCTTGGTGGTGAAAACTAGGATTGAAGTAAAAACAAAACTACCACCAATGTTGCGTTCTGAGGCTTATCATTTGATAAGAGAGGGCATATGACAGAACCGACTACTTGTATTTAGCTGAAAAGGTTAATAATAAAGACCTTGGCATGGAACAAAGGTCCATTCACCTGGGTAAAATCGAGGTAACCCCTACGAAGAGATCACCTCAATTTCATGAAATCGAACAGACAAGATGTTTTAAAATACAGGAAAAATTTGTAAGAGAGGAAAGTGGCTTGAAACATTTAACTAGTTTGTGATATTTTAAAGGATAAGTGAAGGCTGATAAGGGCCTTTGTAAAGGACAACTGAGTAACCGATATAAAGCGTCCGAACCTCCTAATCGTTAGCAGAAGTCAATAGGTACAGCTGAATGTCTTTATTCGGATTGATATAACAAGATGGATATCAACGTGATTCAGAGTTGAAATAGCGGTGAAAAAGGGACAACGTATTAGAATTGACATTAAAGCATTTGAGCTCTCAGCTCCAACAACGAGTTTACGAAGGGTTCCTATGCCAAGACACCCAAATCCTTCATTGTGTCAACGAAAAAATCATTCCTGCGAGGACGCACAATCCCTCTAACCCTGAATTTTGCATTAAATTACTGCGGATTAATGCACCCTATATGAGCAGTTGTCACTTCATAGTCAATAGAATGGCTTCTATAAAAGTTCAAGCTAAAAAACAGTCATATAATACACTCAAGATTAGCTACAGAATGATTATTGTAAACAAATTGGAAATAGTACCTTCGCTTCATACTAAAAGCAGGAACACAACACCAGATTCAAGTGGTCTATAGCCAAATGTCATTGCTAAAAAACCTTATTTACCCCTTCAATAGATACGCACACAAAAGCGAAAAATAATATTGTAATTTTCATAAAAAAATCCATTCTAGTCTCTTTATTTTTCATGCAACACGGTTTTCGTTTTAATGCATCACCGGTCCCAGTCACTTTGCAACTCTTTTAAAGCTTTAAAATGGGTGACGATAACGCTCCGAAGGTATTAGAGTTGCTTCACTTGTTGTTGTACTCCATTTGTCCCATCGCAATGACTTTGTAACCATTTGCAGGAAAAGAACAACGAGCCGATAAACCTTACTGTACATGGTCAGGATGGCTCTGTAATCCATTTTAAAATCAAGCGCACCACGCCCTTCAAAAAACTTATGAACGCTTATTGCCAGCGGCTGGTACGTTCACATTCATATTATTGGGAGTCTAGGGTTTAACCCTCGCGAATGTCCGTTTCACTTGCGATGGTGAGCACGTGCAGTACGAAGACACTCCGGAATCGGTAGTGCTTATTTCTCTATCATTTAGCTCCTTAGTTGGATTTGCATGATAACGACACAATAGAGGTTTTCCAGACTCAGACTGGTGGATATTGAGAAGCATTTACATGTATATTGCACTAATCTTTGTTACAATATGGGACATTTTTTACTGAGATCCCCTTGGTGCTGCTTCGTGAATACTTTCGTAAAATCGCCTATATCCTGTGTTCCTCAACAATCTACTAATGGTCATGAGGTGCCATTTTTATTTCTGCTTGCGCGGGGTGTTTGATCATGGTCTCACTAAGTGTCTGCGCTTATCAGTGTTTTATGCGACTAATCTTCCTGTAAATCAGAAAATAAAGTCTTTTTCCCGACGGTGGGTTACGCCATGTGACTTAGTGGCGGTGGTGCTTGCGTGCTTCGAGCCAGTCCTCCAAATACTGGACGCGTAGCAGTGGAGTTAGGGCGTGGGGATCCTTGTTACTTTTCATTCGTTCGGGTTTGGGTCCTCCAATCATGTGGGGGTCGTCACTGCTCGAGATCTATGGCGCTCGGTCTCGAGTTAAGTCTCTGGCGGTCTGGTCTCTTCGCGGTCTCCGCACGGGTGCGACGGCGCGTTTACCGCTGGCAGGGTGTCCAGGCCTCTCGTCGTCCTCGAAATCAGCACAATTCGGTGAGCGGGTTGGCGCGCGCAGTTTCACTATTATTGATTGGCATCAGGTCGCCATTATGGGCCTGTCTAGCCCACACTTGCAAAACCCAAGAGAGCTAGACACACACATGCTTAGAGGCTATTGGTCAATTGTGAGCCAATGGGTGTACAATTGCCTAATTCAATTGAACGAATTCCTTTTGGCTTTTTCTTCTGAGACGCTATCGCCATTATTTCATCCTTTCAAGTAAATTTATCTTGAGGATGGACGCGCTATTTGAAATAGATTGCTCGCAAAATTTGTCGAGTTGAATGCAGTCACTTTATGCGCTAGCAAACTAACAAAGTTAACGGGTCGATAACTTTCCGCAATCAGTTGTCTTTTCGTCTATGCCTCACAGTTTCGGAGTAGGCGTAGACTCATATCGTCGTCTCCTGTCGGAATGCTGGAAATATCAACCAATAGTCATTGTGGGTTGCGAAACTGGTCGAAGCGTGATTTTTCATTATCATGCTAAGTGGAGCAGCTACGATATAGAAAGTCGTGAAAGTGTATGAATGAAATGGTCTATAGATAATTTTTAGCTAAATGTTGTTTGTGTATTCTGACACTCGTGAATTGGCGAAGAGTTGGTCATAAATACTTTTGTCAGAGCCTCATTTGGTTTTCGCAAGTCTAACTGTAGTTCTACGCGGGTTATTTGCTCACCATTCATCAAGTGATGGCTCACTGAATGACGCAAGCATTGCATTTGTGTCAGTAACATCCAAAGGTGTGGAAAGGCAAATAAGTGTGAGGAGAAACTCCTCAAGCCTACTATCATGGAATTCACCTTCAATGGCGCAATCGACGCTGGAATCATACAAATCGTTATTTAGTAAAATGAGTGTAGTCTTTTTAAAGGACTGCCTCTTATTCACATCGAATTAGTTCGATCGCAGCAAGACTTGACGCAATTTCTCATCCTTTATCTTCTCCCTTTAAAAGAGGGAAGCGAGGCGATCCGACACTTAGAAGTACATTGTAGGCTAAAAAAAATTTATGTGGAATAAGAACTCAAATGTGATTCCTCGCTTTAACTTCCCATGTTTACGAACAGTGGCGCAACACCTTGTCGAAATTCCGCCTACAGAACCGAGTTGAGGCTGGAAAAGGAAATAGGCTTTCCGAATTCGTGATTTTTTAACATTTTGCGCTTGATTGCATTATCGTGAAAGGAATCCTCAATGAAGAGTTGCTGAGGTGCTGTTATCACAGCCGAATCATGGTTTGCACGTAGGATGGTCTTTTTTCTTCTCCCACGTGTATGAAGCTCAGTGTATTAAGAAGGGGAAGGAGAGGCAAACTCAGATCCGCAATTTATCGGTGGGTGGACGGTCTGGTGGAGGAGCCAAAGGGGATGGAGGTTCATTCATTACATTGAATCGTGACTTAAAGATTCTCAGAAGGTAAATGTACTTTCTTGGCAAAGCCTGATAGAAGGAAAACGCAGTAGGGGTCAAACGGTTATTTATCGAAAACGAGAGTTAACCAACCAACTAACATATGTCACATAACATCAAGAGGACACAAAGGAGGAGCGCCTTTGACTTCTTATCTCGTCAGTGAAATACAGCTCAGTGTCGAAATATGCGAATGTCTAAAACTAAGTCTAATGAATAAAACAATCTAGTAGAGAGTTCAGTGAGTTGAGAAGTGTTTTTTTGATACCAACACTCAAGCCTCACACTCTGGTGTGGCCCTACTAGGTGGCCCAACGTAGGACCACAACAACGGGCTTTCCAATCTTTTATGCTAGAGCAATCCATGTTAAATCCTATTTGTACGCTTTTACCGTTGAAAGATACTCGTGTCAGCATAGTCATAACAACCACACTAGGTAATCAAGGCAACCCAGTGAAGTGAATTTCCTGAAGTACTTAACTAAATGCATTTTCACTTATGTGATTCGGATGCGTACAATCTAGAAGCTTCTAATAATCTTGGTCAGGAAGTCGAAGTTCAAATACGCGCCCTTTACACTAACCAATAAGTGGCGAAGGAAATGCAGTGAGATCGCCGAAGTTAGGCTCCAATTCGACCTGTAATAGACTAACCATCTAAACAAAAATTAACCTTGAACTAAAAATTCGGAAATGAATTGGTGTTTTAACTTGATAGTTTCAAAAAACAGGCTTTTTTGTTTTACGCAGTTGCTCAAGCGAATGTGAGCTGCTCGTTCATATTGTTTGGCATTTCTACTTATAAAAGTATAAGTGGGCACGATTAAGCAACTATTTTCGAAGTTCCAAAATCCGAATTTACCAATTTTATGCTTTCATAACTTAGTCAAAGAACATCGTGGTCACGTAGTAGTGCTTCCATTTCTGATCAGTGGGTTGATTTGAAAGTTTTTGCTCTGCATATTTTATTTTCAAAATATTCATTCTCAGCATGTTGGCTTCCCCAACTCCGTTTTAGATTGCGTAGCGTCGCGAGACTTCCCGCTGTGTAAAAGAAAACATCAAGTGGTGCTGAATACATGTATTCCAGGGAGAACAAAGTGATCAAACCTTGACTTGGCTCGAAGGCTAGCCCATGGGTACGAGGGCCAGCAGAATCTTAAACTAACCGCCACACGTCAGGTGGCCACATAACAAAAGCATTGCATATTGCTTCCCATTCTTTTATAGGTCCGCTAGCTGGCAATTTAGGAGAGTCATAACTTAATACTCTAGAAAAGAACTAAAAAAGCTCAAGGCAACATGTGAATCCAACGTTCACTTACAACATTTGGGACTTTCAAGACGAACTATGAAGTGTGCATGTAACATTTGGGTTATGTGATCGACCAGTATCTGGTGGTCAATTTGGTACACTACTGACCCTTGCGTACGTGAGCTGGTCTTTGGTTCAAGCTCAGGTTTGACCGTCTTTCACGTCTTAGATTGCATGTTTTCAGCCCAACATGTTGCTTTTCTCTACCTAGTTGGAAGTGTTGGGACACTACATTGCACGCAGAACTTTGAGTGTCAACGCCCTCGACAAGATTTTTGGTTGCTAAATCACTTTTAAAATGTATAAAACTCAACACCATAAAAGGGTAGGGTTGATCATGCTGGCAGCAGACGATCAAGCTGGAGCTTATTCAGCAAATTTCGGTGCTCTAATGTCAGTGACGATATCTGTTCGCATAAGCCCTTTAAACTAAACTGGAAGACTTTGTTGTGCAAGCATAAGGCCTAACCAGTCCATTATATCATACTATATATACACACAATTGGAAGGTAGATTGCTTAGCTAATCTACAAGCACAATTAACTCTGAGCTTCTTACACAGACTTGAACACTTGCTTGAGGAATCCAATTTCCCTTGAAAGACATTTAGCAGGCGATTTATTGGAAATTGCAAGATTTCGCTAGCCGCACAAGGCAATGGGAATTTTCGGTCTCCCAAAACGTAGGCCTACATATCAGCATTAAATTCTGCTGATGTACACAGCAACAAAGTTTTATCGTACATTAGAGCGAATCGCTGTTTTGTAAGAGTAAAGTATCTGTTAATATATTATATGAGTAAAATTAATATATAATGACCTTTGTTGTTTCAACGTATACACTGTCATATAATGCATATCATTTAGATAGGTAGGCTTTCATATAAACTTGTGTATTTTATGCTAAGATGCGCATTTTAATCATGATATAATACAAATTGCTATGAAATTGGAGATAAAAAGTTTCACCGGCTATTACCCAAAAGCCAAAACTCTTCCCAGTAAATTGGACACCTTATATTAGCAGAAAATTCCGGTTATACAGTATTTAATATCACTGAGACAGAGTTTTACGACCTAAATATAAAATAGTACGGGGCGAGAGAATACGAAGCATAGGGCACCATAACGTAGGCGCAAGCTAAAAATCATGCACTAAACTCACTACACTAAATGTCGACAAATCACTTTCACAATGTTTGCTAAGTCATCAGTAGGCCTATTATGAAACCGTGACGGCAACACCTACTCACATCAGAAACAAATGTAGAGCTCAATAAAGGTCCCACCCGTAATCATTGTTCGATTAAATAAAACAACTTATTTATATTGCTGCATTGCAAGTTGTTTGAGTAACAACACAAAAAGCCTCCCCTTCTGCAATGACTGAAAAATGTCTTCAGTGAATGGCAACTTATTATACGTAAATGTTCTAATTAACACATGACCACTCGGCAAATGCCTCCAAGACAAACTCATACGCAGCTTCTGAGTGGCAGATGATAACTTCAATGCCAGAGTGCAAATAATGAGAAGATTGTGTCATGATATCTCTAATCGTTCCCTTGGATTTGGGCTCAATTTTTTATCAGTGTTTCCTCACCTATTAATGTGAGTAATGCCAGTCGATAAAATCCGGAAGTGTCGTCCTAAGAAGAATAGTTACTCATCAGTTTGGCACAAATAGATATCATTACCTTAATAAACTCTCCAAGTGTCTCTTCGTACTCCGCCTTGAAGGCATTCTTTATCTGTACCATGTCAATTTCACACCTCGTAACGATCACTCGTATAAGCGAGTCATCATCTGTGCCCATCCCCTTCATCGAGCGATGCAACGTCTTCGCGAAAAATGCGGGTTTATTTTGGACGCTTCGTACTAAAGCGGATAGAAATTTGCATGTTTTATGCTTTGTCGTAATGCAAAAGATTTAGGCAAGGTTAGACTATAACTCACCGACGCTCAGAAAAGCACGTAGAAGGTCGCCTGACATCTCTGACTTCAGAGCCTCTTCTACTGTTTTCTTGCTTACTTTTTCATACTCCTCAAATACCGCTCGCAAATGGGCATTGGAGCGGGAAATTAGGATCTCATTGAATCTATACAAAGCAGTATAAGAAAACCCTCACTAGAGCAATAGGTAACAAACCCATAACAGTTATATTTTCAACCTACTTCGATTCGTCTGTGCCGCTCTTCTTCTCTCCAGCTGCTAATAATTCTTCAGCATCCTTGCGAGCCTTCTTACGATCAAATGTGGGACTTTCATTCCTATTCCCTTGAAGTAACGAGACCATGAGTCTCTGAAAATGTCCTGAAGTGTCATCGTGAACGTCCTTTTCAAGATCGCGGCTAAAAACTGCAGAATAAAGCACCGCAATTATTAATATTTAAGTAATACTTTTCTTGTACGCCTCCTTAATCTTCGCAATCTGTGCATTGGTGCGACAACAGATAATCTCAATGAGGCAATCCTCGTCAGTTCCAATGCCCTCTACGGCTTCTCGCAACTCTTCTGCATCATAGACCTCAGGTTCTAAGCAGAGCGCACGGCACACCTTGAAGAACTTGCCACTGATCTCATTGTTTAATTCGTTGATGAGATCCAATCCATAGAGGGTCTTGAACTGTTTTACGATGTCAAGGCGTTGACGGATTGATCGTCGGGCAAGAACATCGATAATGCCTTTTTCGTCGGTGCCTAGACCCTTCATGGCCTTGCGCAGACGCTGGCAATCGGCGTTGCAGTCAAAGTTGGGTGTTGGCTTTAGTGTGCCTTCACTCTATCACAGGTTACAAAATTTCTCCATTTTAATCCCCATTAAAATGTTAAAATTGCATAACAGGGACTAAAATTTGCAGCCCACCTTGTACTCCTCAGTTTCAAAATATGCATTTTCAACTTTATCTGAAGGATTTTCTTCCCCTTTCAATTCAATCGCAGCTGCCTTCTGATTGCGACCCTGTCGCACAACCGTTTCCACTTCGTGTCCCTTGGGAGGGATAAAATAAGGTGATAGAGAATAATACGACTAAGGCTTTGTCAAAAGCTTTAGTGTTGTATCAAAACACCCGAAATAGGCTTCAAGTAGTGAGAGCTGCTTTAAGTTAGCCACAACTCCCTGCCATTACTCTTCTGCATTGACTGGCTATGGTAATATCTGCTGCCTAAAACACAGCTCCAAATATAAGAAAGGTGAATTTTCATTAACATTTGAGGGCTATTGCCTAGAGAATCATTTATCAAAACAACAATGTTTCCAGCTTAAAATAACCAGTTTTTGATAGTCGCTAGCTGACGGCCTAGCTTAATACGTGAGAGGAGCCAAGTGGATGCCGCATGCTGAGACAGTTTTGCAAATTCAACGTTCATAAAAGTGCCGATTGAATGACTAACTAAATTCTGGAATTACACATCTCAGTAAAGAATGATACTCTTCAGGCTGGGAAACGTACCTCAGGCACGGTGACTTTTGAACACTTTTTGTCCGATTTGAGTTTGTTTGGTTTGCGATCCTTCTTTTCCAGCTCAATTGTCAGAACATACCTATCGTCAGCATCTTGCAGATCTCCTCCAATCACCTATTCCGTTTCAATAAACATATCCAGCAAAGCATCATCAGCATTCGCAAACAGCAACTTTTATTTTACGAAAGACTCTCACACTTATATCACTCACACCCGATGTATGGCTAAGGCGCTTAGACTGAAAAAGTTAGCTTCCTTTCTCAAGCTCCTGTGCAGTCATCAAAAATTGTGTTTGATGCAACACCAAAAATATTTGCAAAGAAAATAATTTGGGAAGAAAACAGTAAGGAAATGATCGATTATTCAGTTACACATTTCTACACAAATTCTCACTTCACTTACACATCGGCTAGAAATGGTCTATAGGCTGTAGGCTAACAGGATTTAGTTGAGCCTGAGTTGTCAATTTTCATGTCAAAGCTGATACACTTATGCTTAATGTTTGAAGGGTCTCAGCATCAGGATAGTAGCCTATGATAATCCGGATGCACACAGCTTCATGGGACCGCTACATAAAAAATGATACCATTCCATCAGTATATTTTGGAGTCAAGCTAGAAATAGCTTCAGAATGAACGGAAAAGCTGTTAACTAAACAGTAGCATAAGTCATAAATTTCGAACCGACTATAAGCACTGGAAATCATATCATCAACATCTGAAAAGGTAATTAATTAAACTCATTTTTGTTACTTATGGTAAGCAAGTAGGAATTTTATTTAAAAATTTGTTGGGCACAAATTTCCATCCTTATTGTTCGCAGTGGCAGAAAATGTCAAATTCCTGCACGTAATTTGGTTTTAAGCTTTAAAAGAAAAAGGTTCGCAAAAATTCGTGGACGAATTGCTCAGGATAATTGTAAAATCTTCATTCTTGCGTATGAGTAGCAACACTTTTGTCGTTTCAATTACACGTATTATGCACCTCTGCATACCACAGAGGAATACTTTTCTTTGGGCACCAGTTTTTCTTCTCTAATCATGCCCGAATTTCAGTGATTTGACAACTAATTAGTCGGAAGTTGAATTTCTCTTCCATGACTTGGGCTACTACAGCCTCCAGTCTGTCTTAAGTGTTGTTAAACTGCACGCCTGGGTAAGCTATACAGTGTTAGTTCTGCTAGACATCAATCCAACAGTTACTGAAAGAAATTAATGAAACTATTTCCCCTAGACTGCCTTGTTTCAACAATGCTTGCTGTGTTGGTATGTTGTCTTAGCGACAAAGCATAAATGCTGTTCCTCCCAAAGTCAGGTAGCCATGGCAACACTATTTATAAAAGACTGCATGCAAAAGTCATTATGGACACTCCTTTAAAGTCACATTTTAATAACTGTAGCACTTTTTACAAAACTTATGCAAAGGTCAATTCAAAATACTCTTGATTTGTTGTTCAGACGGCACAGTGTGCACTAACCTTGCCTACATCAGCACAGGAAAGTTCGTCTACAATATTCGAGTTAATTGTGGCGTAGCTGTTGAATTGCTGAAACACTTGACTGAGAGGACTCTTTAGTATGGGAAACTCAACCGCTGGCTGCTGCAATGGCTGTGGTGGCGGTGGTGGTGGTGGTTGAGGCTTTGGAATAGCCTTTAAAATGTGTCCAATTGCTTGGGTTAGAGATTCACGCACTTCCATCACCGTTCGTTGACGCATCTGATCTATGTACTGAATGGTGAAGGAAAACACGATCAGCACAGCAAACAAGTCATTTCTTGCTTAAGTTTATTCAAAAATAACTACTTAGTGGATAATTACGCATAAATTGATGTGTAGAGCTCTTATACATTCAAAGGTCTGACACCACTTTCTACAAGCAAAACAGTAGTGGCATACAAGTGTTAAGATATCGCAGTTGTCTTGTGAACAAACGAATCCAAAACAAGTGTCTTCCAACTGCTGAGGATTTTTGCATTCGTAAAAGGCACCTATTCTTCGCAATGCTTATTAATGGAAGGAACCAAATCGCAATTAGATGTCGTCAGTACCAAAGGAGAGCTTGACGCGAAGTCATGAGTAAAATGACTTGTGTCACAATCTGACAGCATTAAATCTTCCTCAAGGGTACCGAACGTCAAATTCTGCTTGTTCTACAAGTACAGCCTAATCATTGGAACCATTCAAAGCCCCTAATCAACTCCAAAACTTAAAATCACTTCATCAGATTTAACTAAGCAGATGGCTGGAGGTGACTCCTAATGAATGAGAAGGCTGTCAAGCAGTCGCTGTTTTATTTTAATATCTCATTCCACTTTCAGTGATAAAGCCTTCTAATTAGACTTGCAGCTCTCTAGACTATTCATTAACTAACAATGGACAGCTATTGGACAGGAATGGCAGTAGTTGAAAAAGAGAGAGAAAAATTAGACAAGTTTTGGGTGAAAAAAGAGGAGTAAAAGGGTCAGTAATGCACTCCTACTCTCATAAGAAGTCTCAGTTGCCTAAAAACTTTGTCCTAAACTTTAAAAAATAGGTTCTTGCCCCCTTCTGAACCAGTAAGTTAGAAAATAAAGTTTCGTCTAATGTCAATAATCCTCAATGAAGAATTTACCTTTCACTTTGTTGGAATACAATAGTCAATTTGGCATAAAAAAGGAGGGAAAACCACAGTTTTTGTAAAAATGAAAGTTTAAACTACATTAACATACTTCAACTTTGCAAAGTTAAGGAGCTGGATGCAGCAAAGGCGGTAAAAAGCAATATGAAATTCACCAAAAGATTAGATAATGCATTCGTGGAAAGAGGGCGCAGGAAGTCACACAACATTTAACCTCCAAGAGAAGTTAGAAAAAAATCTAAGACAACAGTTTGATCTTAAAATCTTATTCTAAATCAAGCCAGCAG